AGCTGTAAAACTAAGGTCTTCTTGTTATGTTATATTTGCTGTTGTTTTCTGTATGAAGACTCAGAAGAGTTTTCTAGCTATGGAGGCCAGAAGAATGGTTCTAGTGCTGGCCCAATGTTTTGAAGAAGCTAAATGACAGGAAAATACAACCCTCCTCCTTTGGTTCTTTATATCAGGTGGTACAGGGATCCCATGCATTGTGACCAGTGAAAATAAAAAGAGCAAGGCTGACGTTCAATGGATTCAAAAGGGGGAGGTGACAACTTAGCAGCATCTGTGAATGGATTAAAGTCTACTTATGGAATTCACCTGATATTCCCTTGCTGGACACTGTGAAGAAGTAAATTGTCTAAATGACAGTAACAACACCATCCTCCTTCTGAAATAGAAAAGATGTTGTGGTTGAAAAGTAAGAATAGAAGTCAATAAGGAGAGAAGCTAAGTGACAGGAATCTCTCAGTGTCCTTTCATTTTCCTTGGCTTTCATTTTCTTTGAATGATTTATTCCTGAATATCTGAATGCAGCCAACCAGAGCCCACATGCTGTCTGTCCAAGGTAGTGGAAATGTAAATCTATACTGGACCATTTTCAGGTACAAGGCTACCACCCCTGGGTGAGTAATTCCCAGAGAGCTTTGAGCTTTGTAAGGTCTGTTCAATAAGACTGCTGTATCCTGCCCATTATTCGTAGTACCATTTATTTCAGAGGTGATTGTTTGGCAACTGATAGAACCTGGCTTCATGTGCTATACACAAGGAGAAATGTATTAATACGGTTCACAGCAAGAAATATGGGATCAGCCACCTTGAAGTTGGCCAAAGACATTTTATCTACAAGACCCTGTCAACAAGACAAATTCACATGTTTAAATCCCAGTGGGCTGGTCTCCACCACTCTTTATCTCTAATCTTAGATAACAAAACAAAAAATGAAACAAAATAAACCTATTTTTTGTATTTTTCCAGAAGTAGAAGGAGACAACATATTTAGTTGAATGTGTTGGTTTTTTTAAATTTTAGAAACAATCTAGCTTAACACTTATTCTCACACTTTAACAGATCTTTATAAGATGTCACAACAAAATTTATTGTGTAAGTTTCCCAGCCAGTGGTTGTGAAATGTAGAGCAAAATAACATTCATGTAATGTGCTTGTATCCATATACACTATGTTTTTCATTCATTCCTTCAATCATTCATTCATTTGTTGATACATACACTAATTTATTCATTAGTTCAATAATAGAAAAATCATTTGGTGCTGGGCATATAAAATGAAGCTATAGGCTTCCTGTCTTCAAGCAGGTTACAATCTAGTGCTACTAAAGTTATCCACCAAATCCTTTTTAATTCTTGGGGATAAAAAGTAAGATAAAATTTCATTTTGGGGGCTAGGGGCTCTAAATGCTTCAAATGATGTCTTTTTTGTTGGTGGAGCCGTGACATAGCTTGAAGGGTGTTGACTGACTGCATATAGAAACCGTAAAATGTCTCAGGATGACTGAGGACCATTTCTCAGTTACTAGTCTAGCAGCTATCTCAAGCACCTCTGTCAAGTTGATATTTTAGCACTCATGAAAATGATCCTTGGGCAAGGATTATGTTGGCTCAGCACTTAGTGGTTCTTCGAGCTAAACAAAAGAGGGTGGGAAGCATGTGAGTAGGAGGCTGGTTTAATGATTCCTGTTCCCATAGAAATGTAATGTGATTTTTTTTTTTTTGAGCAGGAGGAATCCTTAGCTATGGGGTGATTAGTAATTATCACTGAAGGACATTTTGAATAAACAAGCACAGTAAATTTACACAATATTTATCTTCTCTCCTGGAAATAAGATACTAGTTGAAGTACTTATAGGGGTGAAAATATTTCCAGTATAAGCAGAATGTTGATAGCTGCATTAAAATAGTATTCATTTAACCCTATATGATTTATTGCAGTTGTCATATATATACAATGTATTTTAGGGTGGAAACACTGTGAAATAGTTTTGAAAAATGAAATTAGCATTTACAGTGTACTATTAAATTAGACTTGAAAAGAAAGCAATAATTAAATTACTCAGAAGAGTTTTAATGTACAGATTCTAAGTATTTCAGTTTTCCTTATTTTGTCCCTAATAAAAGTTTAATGCAAAATTAAAATATTTATACTATATGTTGTAAGAAACCACATCATAAAACTATTTGAAAATTCTTTCTTAATCACAGAAATTGTGTTATTTTTGGAGAACGTGTTCCTGACCAATAGTTTAAAAGCAAATTTTATATATGATAATATATTTAAAAGTCTAATAAATATGTCTCCATAAACATTTTTTAAATCATAGGAATAGACTACATGGTTTGTTCATTTATAACAGAAAGGGTGTTTGAGGATAACGTTGTTCACTCCTTGCTTTTTATGGATCATGAAACCAAGTCTTGGAAAGATTATGAGTTATTACGTAGCTATTTAGTGTCAAGGTTGGTACCAAAATCCAGTACCATCTCCCAGTCTAATGCTTTGTCGCTTATCTTGGTTATGGATTGATTCACCTGCAAGTAACAGAAGACATCTCAAAGAAAAGGAGGAAACTCTCACCCAGTCCAAATGAAAGGAGCACAGCTGGACACGGGGTCTATGCATGGTTATTCCCTCTCTTGCCCACTCTCATTGCTGTTTTCTCTGAATTGTTGCTCCTTTTTGTCACCAGTTTCCTTGGCAAGGCTCGTAGTTTCTACACCCTGAAAACACTAGTTTGCACATGTAAGGGAATTGATTTTGAACAGAGAAGCCACTTGCTCATATGGCATATGTGTGAATTAGGAAATATTGCCCCTCCAGGGGGATACAGCCTTGTGGGTCAGTGCACCACACTAGCCAGTAGCCATGACCTGGCTCTCCATGATCTTACAATACTTGGGCCCAGTACCATCTGCCTGACGCATTTTTTGTGTCTCCATTCCAATTTCTGAGTGGGCCTACTTATGTTGAATGTTGTTTTAGTTTACAAGATGGAAAGTGTGATGAAGAACCTCAAACTTATCACATGTATGCTTGAGAGACAGAAGCAAAGAATAGTCAAAGTTCAATGTCAGGTAATCTTGGTCTTATATTTGCCCTGTCTTTTCAGGAATTAGACCCCCAGTATAATCATCATCCTAGGTCTCAAGCTATCTCAAGCTATGAGAGATCCTGGACAGGGCTAACGACTTTCACCTGTGCACTCAGGGACAGGCTGACACCAGCCAAAGCAGACAGCCCAATGACAGCTGGCTTCAACCTTTTTGCATTGGCTTGCTTTTGATTGCATTTAAAGCAATATAATCTCACCAGAAGACTAGATCTTTTGAAAATTTTAGGCAACCTCCACCTCACTGTGTTCAAAACTAATAGTAATGCTAACAATGCAGAGGAACATTTTTTTATTTGATTTAATATAAGCATTGTCTTCTCTTGCCAACTTCACTGAAATCCAGCGATAGACAATTGCTGAAGTTGAGTCACAAAATTAAGCTAATTATTTAAGAGCTCTGTGATGGCCAGCGAGGGACAGCACCAAAACCAGATGTGATAACATTAAAGAGGTGCTCACCTCACGGCCAGTCACTGCAGGCAGAGAAAGGGAAGTCCAAATTACACATAAAGCTATCTCTTCAGGGTTGTAGGGAAGTAATCAACTCTTACCAAAGATGACACAAAAATACCAAATGTAATATAATTGCATGTTTTATTTTTCCAATAGATGTGCATCCTAAGTATTTTCTCAGAGCTCTCTTTTCTTCAAGAGTAGCTGCTTTGCCAAACCAGCATCTTTCTCATTCACTCTTTCGTTTAGCAATACTCTTGATGTCTCCTGTGTGCCTGCTAATGGGAGATGTGCGATGGTAGAGAAGATAAGCATGATCCTGCCCTCATGGAGTGATCCAGGCAGGCGTACAAGCTGCTGCCTTGCTTAGTCCACTGTAAAACCCAATAAACAGCATAAGCAGTAACTGGGAAGTGAATTATAGGTGTCAACTAGAGTCACACAATGAGCAGCAACTGTCTATACCCAATATGACCCTTAGTCACAGTCTCTATTATTCCCTAATGTCCCCTTATTACTTTTCCTCTCTCACGGGAAACAAATAGGATTTGCAAACCCTGATTGTTGTTTTTCACATCAGGTAAGTCACGCTAGGATGAATAAGCTCTTTACCACCCAAAAAATAATTTAAAAAGTTAAAGCAAAGAGAACATGGATATTGTCAAGTTCATCTGCCCCATCATATTTCTGTATTGTGTACTTACTAAAGAAAGAGAGGAATCGTTGCACTAAATGTGTCTCAAATGAGGTAATGAGGGGCTACTTTGAAAATGTTTAACGACAGAGATAGAGCAGAAATTGACCATTCTGAAGGAGGCCCCTTGGTTCTGATATTCCATCAGTTGCTATATCTGGGAGATCTGGCTGGCACATCTAGGGCAGAGACCAGAGTGAGTAGTATAGTGAGGGCCCTCGGGAGGTTCAGGACAATGACTCTTTGCCAAACAGTGTGAAAGTATTTCAACATTTTAGCAACTGGTATGACAGGTTCATCCCTGGAGGAAGTATATCAAAATACACTCCAGGTGAGTTCTGCTCTAGGGAAGGACATGATAGTGGCTTGAACAGCTCTCCTTTTACAGCTGAACTTTGTCTGTGGTGGATCCTTTGCTTGTCCCATGAAAGTGGAAACTCCAGATCTATTTGGACAATTAAAAGAGAGAGAGGGAGAAATTCCATGCACAGACAACTGAAATAAAATATAGACATTATAGGAATGCTGCTTAAATATTGTTGAGACAGAGAAAAAGGGAAAAGCCCAGTAGAATAACTCTGACTTGGGCATGATAAGTGGGAAATCTGAATTGTCTGCTTATTTTAAAAGAAAGAACCCAAAAAAGGGAGTCTTGTCTTAGTCACATTCATAAAATGGCAGTATATAAACTTTTAATGCATATGATAATATTTTTAATAGTTTGTTCTCCTCTTTTAGCTTTCCTTATTGGAAAAGGCTGGATTTGGAGGTGTTCTTCTGTATATTGATCCTTGTGATTTACCAAAGACTGCTAATCTTAGCCATGATACCTTCATGGTATCACTGAATCCAGGAGGAGACCCTTCTACACCTGGTTATCCAAGTGTTGGTAAGTTTGTTGTTAATCTTTATTATTCTTATAAGCATTATAAGGTTGTAATTTATAAGTACATGCTACCTAAATTAATCAAAGAATAGTAAAGTCGAAGAATTCGTACCACTCCATCTTTTAAAAGTAAGTTTTTTATCTTCTCAAAATTACAGACTACCCATTTGTCACAATAAAACATTTTAAAAAGTCTATAATAGATTTTTGTCTCAATAAATTACAGTGTTGTGAACAGAAAGAAAACATTTTATTTGTTATTATTGATTGATAAGATAAATTGACACCATGTGAGATGGGCTCTCCTTATAGGTGTAAAGCGTGAACAAATATCTAGAAGCATGAAATGTCTGCTGCTTTGGGGTAGCTGTAATAACTTTAAGTCCGGAGTCTAGGGGTTCACGTGGTCAAGTTAGATGACTAAAGTAGTGGGAAATGATGCTGGAGAAGAATGGGGTTAGTATGATCAAATTGTCTGGCTCCCTAAAGGAAGGGATCTCATGGGTTTGGCCAGCCACTGGCAGCGTAGAGATGGCCATCTTTGCATCAACATCCTTCTCTTTCCCAGTAAGCTGTGTTCATGATGGAGGGGGTCATGTGGCACAGAGAAGACAACTGTGATTTGGCAGGTGCTTACTGCATTATTGAATTTCTGTACAATGTGTCATTGACAAATATCCTGTTTATACAGACTTAGCTGAAGAGAAAGCTTTGGACCCTCTTCCAGGGTGATACTAACCCATTAACCATGACACTTCAGTCAGTAATTAAACTACAAAAAATTCATGTAATTATTTAAGTGTTCTGCTAATATTTTTCCTTGTTTTTTAAAAAATATCACGAAAAACTTGACTAATTATCTTACTCAAGTCCAGCTGTCCTTTATATATATTAGCTTCACCAATCAATTAACTTTTTCCAAGAAGGAAGTAAATCGAGTTAAATATGAGTTATAATTTATGAATTTTATTGGGTCTACTCTTTACTGCTTTGTCTTCTAAAGTACCCCTTTAATAATCCATATAAGAATTTTCTCTGGGACCTCATTGATCTGTACTTTGGATAGTCCACTGTCTCATTACTGCAATTTTGAAATTAAAATTAGTAGGTGTCCATCTGCAATTTCAAGGCATCGCCAAAACATCAGTCCAGCTCTCTCGTTTGCAGATGCTTTCCTCTCGTTTGCAGGTGGTGATGCTTCAGCTTCAGGAGGTTGCATGTGGCAGCTAATTCTTTGCGGCAAATGAATGCTCCTGAAAAGCACATGCTTTATGCGTACTCTGCTTAAGTTGATAAGTGGCCTGGTTGGCAACATTGACTCTTAAGTTTTTTGGCTCAGGTCATTTCATAAATGTAGAATTCAGTCATAACTAGCAAAATGTTAGCCAGAGTCTTAAGCAATCTTAGAATGCTTTTTTTTTCTTCTTTTTTTATTTTGAAATAATTTTGACTCACAAAAAAATTGCAAATATATTATGTAGAGATTCTGTATACCTTTACGCCAGCATCCTCTAATATAAACATCTTACATAACATAGTACAATTATCAAAGCCATAAAATTAACATTGATGCACTGCCATTAACTAATTACTGACTTTATTCAATTTCCCTAATTCTCTCACTACTTTTTTTTTTTTCTTATCCAGCATCGAAAACAGAATTCCATGCTGCATTTAGTTTCCTTGTCTCCTTAATCCTCTCCAATTTGGAAAAATTCCTCAGTTTTTATTTTATTACCTTGACATTTGAGGAATACTGGTAATTTATTTTATAGAATGTCCCTCAATTGATCTTGTCCAGTATTGTCTCATGATTACATTTTTGGCAGGAATACTGCAGAAGAGATGTTGTGCCCTTCTCAGTGTATCACATGAGGAGGTACATATTGTAAATATGTCTCGTTTCTCTCAATGCTAACTTTGATCTCTTGGGTTCTGTCTGCCAGTTTTCTCCACTGAAAAGGTACTATTTTTTCCTTTGTAATTAATGAATATTTTGTGGAGAGATACAATGCGACTATATAAACATCCTCTCTCTTATCATACTTATCCCCATATATTTTAGCATCTGTCAATGATTCTTGCCTGTTACAATCATTATTGTGATATTTGCCAAATGATGATTTTTTATTTCCATTCCTTTAGAAGATTTTTAAAGAAAAGTTTTTATAATATTGATAGTGAACCTCTTAATCTCAAGGTCATGTGCCAGATGTGCAGTAAGCCAATCACTGAGACATGAGTGCTTGGAGATGGAGAAAAGTTTATTCAAATTGGCCAAAACAAGAAGACAGGAGGATAGGTTCTCTCAAGTCCGCCTTAACAAAAGAAGAGAACAGGGAGTTTTATAGAGCTAAGGGGCTTGGGAGGAGGTGTTTTGGAGAAACAAAGGGGAAATCTATGTTCCTTTCACTCCAGATATGCCCTTGGGCAATCTGACTTCTGGGTGTCAACAGCAGCTGGGGGCTGATTGTCTGTGATCATAACTTCCTTGAAGGCATTCTTTTTCTTCTCTAAAACAAGCTCATAAATCCTTGTGACACTTGAGTCACCCCTCGGGTTAAAGAAGAAGACAGAAAATTTATAAGATTAACTTTTTTCATCTGTGTCTCTGTTGGGAACAAGATGGGAGGGTAATCATGTTCTTATTGAATATTTATAGTAACCCTCAGGTACCCAGCTTCAATATGAGTAGTTATACTTGCTGCCTACATTCTCAAACAAAGATGAAATGACTAACCATTTTGGGCAAAAATATGTCAGACTTCTTAGATCCAATGACAAAATATCAGTGCGATAAATGACATTATTTACTATATTACTCATGTACTTATAGAGGATTCACATGAAAAATTCTTTTACAAATATAATGCCATAGTGGGGGGTAGGGAGAGGATCTTTTTTTACATATGAATCTGTATGCAATACACAGAAAAGGAAAAGATACACCCATTGTATTTCCTTTTTTGCCCTGGTTGCTAGGAAGCTCTGATTAACTGCAGTGATTTATACCCTTGGCCTCTGATTCATTTATCCCTCCTTCTTGAAATTGTCTGAAGATCTCTGTGTCTTATGGTTTCATTTACAGTTTTTAAAAATAATGCAGCCCTCCTCAAATTTTGAGGGGGGAGAGAGGAGGAGAAGGCAGGTTGTGAATTGTAAATAAAAACTATAAATAATAATTCGTTCATATTGAACAACAATATCTGACTTAATGCCCTACAATTCTGTCAGTTCAATGATTATTAGAGGAATTAATATGAAACTGCATCTTTTTTCAGTTTTCGGAATTCCATTTTATTAACTAATATAAGGATGATTAAGTTCTTAAGAAGTAGTTTAGAATAACAAAAATCAAAGGACTGTTTTTAATTATTATTATTATTATTTTTTTTTTTTTTGCTGAGGAAAATTCGCCCTGAGCTAACATCCATGCCAATCGTCCTCTATTTTGTATGTGGGTTGCCACCACAGCATGGCCACCAACAAGTGGTGTAGGTCTGTGCCCAGGAATCAAACCCAGGCCACCAAAGCAGAGCACGCTGAACTTAACCACTAGGCCACGGGGCTGGCCCCAATTTTTTTGTTTTTTAATATATACAAAATAAACAGAATAGGGTAATGAACCCTCCATATGCCTCAACCAGCTTCATCAACTATCTACATTCTACCATTTTTGTTTTCTCTGTACATTGCCTCAAACCCCACAGCACCACTTATTTTTCCAGATGAAATTTACATAAATTGAAATGTGCACATCTTAACTGAGCAAAAGGATACACTCATGTAATCTCCATGCCTATTTAGCTATAAAACATTTCCATCACCTCCAAAAGTTTTCTGAGTCCATTCAGTCACTCCCCATCACCAGCTCTAGCTAACCACTAGTCTCACTTTTTTCACAGTACAAAATTGTAGAACCTCATAAAAATGGAAACATGCAGTATGTATTCTATTGTGTGCAGGTTCTTGTGCTCAGAATAATGTCTGTGATATTTACTCATGGTTGTAGGTATCAGCAGTTCATTTCCTTTTATTGCTGGGAAATATACCACAATTTTTGTATTGATTCAAGTAGGTGTTTTTTAAACAAGCATGTCGATGTACTCTTCCATAATACATGATCCCAAATGGATTGTCCAAACAAGGCGTAGGAACTTTCTATAAGGTGGTTCTGCTCAGTAAGTCTCATTGCATATCCAAATACTAGTTCTTGATTATTATAGAATCAGAGCCAAAAGTAAAAAGTTTTTAAATAACCTTTGCCCCTATAACATAGAAAAGAATTTCTTATCACTCTTTTAACAAGAACAAGCGTTTAGATTCATTTGGCATGTTAATTAACTACTCTAAGCCTTATTTTCTTCACAAGCAAAGGAAGGATTATACTAATACGTATCTCTCAAGATTGTCTGTAAGGAAATGCAAAATCGTGAGCTCCACCCCAAACTTAAATAGGAACTCCAAGGGGAGGGGCCCAACCATCTGTGTTCCAAAAAGCTCTCCAGGTGATTCTGATACAACTAAATTTTGAGAACCACTGAGCTAGAGAAGCTTTACTATTCTTCATCTACCACATCTCAATGGGACCACCAGGGCTACTGACCTAAACTTTGTGACCTCATTCCTTTGTTACTGTTCTTGCAGCGTCTTGTAGAGCTGCCTTTCATATTTGCTGCCTCCGCGTCAATCAGGGCTGAGGAACACATATGTTCTGGATCCTCGACCCAATTTTTGTACTCAATAGATTCTCAGTAAATATTTGTTGAGTAAATAACTTGTTCTCTTAACATGACTGCTTGTCTGGTGGTTCTGATCCTAGGCTATACCCCGATTTTAATTAACCTAATTAAAACTGCTTTTAAAAAAGTGTATAAACACTTTCATAGTTTTTCTTCTAAAGTGCTTCTGTCAACTCTGTCTCATGTCTTCTACCACTTACAATAGCAGAAATTCCACTGATTCAAAAAGTTTTAAAATTCAATCTAAGATATTAGGATATC